GGGGGGGGGGGGGGGGGGGTAACACTGATCCAATTTCATGTCCAGCTTATTATTTGCAATCTAATAACTGAAGACACATGCATTTTTGACCGAATTATGATGTTATAATCTTCTGAATTTTGTAAAATCTCACCCCAAAATGCACAAATTGGCATTTCAGAGGCTCTGAATTTCAAAATTTTCCGGGGGGAGCATGCCCCCGGACTCCCTTACAGTGTTCGCACCATTGGCGCTCAACTTGTCTGCCCCACTTTGTAAACCCTGGCTAGCTACGCCACTGCATTGTATTATCTTTCAATAGGTAAAATATTCATTATTTCATAAAGGCCAATTGACATAGATCAGTGTAGCCTGCGAACAGGCTCTCAAGCTGAATTGAGAGCCTGCAACGGTGACTAATGAATTTGAATATCTGCCCCGTAACGTTCGTTTTTCCAAATATGGAATGTCTATCCTAATATGGTGTTGTTTACAACTTTTGTGCAAACTAAATTTAGACCGTGCAAACTAAATTTAGACCGTACAGTTTATACTGTTTTTCAAAATATAAGATATTCAAGCAAAAGTTCAAATGTTTTAAATACTGTTTTCTCAAAACAGAACATTTTGTGCTTTGAGATAAGATGGCCAAGATCAATTTGATCAGTTAATGTGTTTTTTATGCATAGTGCTTCAGTTGACATATATAGAGCTCAGCGGAAACATATAAATTATAGCATCTGACCAATGAGAATTTTGCGTCACGATTTGAGACGCAGGTATTCAAATTCATTAGTCATCGATGCAGGCTCTCAATTCAGCTTGAGAGCCTGTTCGCAGGCTAAGATCAGTGCTTTTACAAAATACAACTTTTACCTAAAACTGTTGCTTGCAACCTGCTTACAACTCAAGTTGTACTGTGTAAATCAAGCACAAACAAGGCTCGATCTATAGCCAAAGTGACATACTTTCCAGAAAAGTGTATTAAATTTTGTTAGTGTAATGCAAAACTTCAAACTTGGAAAATAAAATATTTTTTCCAGGAATCATGTCTGGATCATTAGAAATTTTATCCCAAAAAATTTCAAAACAAACAAATGCAGAAACTGTTGCATGCTCGCAGCTCGCTCACCCTAAGCACTGATGACTAATCTATATATAACACTGAAGTGCTTAGCATAATTTTCCTTATAAGTTCCTGGGTATAGGAGGCTCCAGAGATGCCCAAACAAAAACAGTGGATTAAGTTTTAACCCCATGGTTAGTGCTAACACAGCTTTGAACAACAGCCCCTGAGGAGTTCAGTTTAGAATGTCATAATAGCCTTCCCATACAAATAAAATTACTATAAACTTTTACAATGAAAATAATATCAGTTTGCATCTGATTATAAATTTCATTTCCTTGGTATAGGTTAATTATTCTTTCAGTTATCTTTGGAATATCGTATGGTGATATACCGGACTGCAATGAGGGCAAGCTGGCCAAAGTGTACTTTTGGATGATGATACCTTTATTACTAATTGAATTTATCACAGAAATTATAATCACTGCAATTAGCATGAGAGGCTGTGTTATGGATACTGCTCAACGTTCGTCAATAACAAAGTTTATTTATATGCGTCTTGTTATGTTTGTTCCTGAGATCGGTCTAACCCTAGCGGGTAGCGTGTGGATATTCAACCCAGGTTCTGACTGTGATACAGACATTGTTTGGAGTATAAGAGTTCTCATTGGTTTCCAGTGGGCGGTACTTATTATTGTGCTTATTTTTGTTGCCATCCTTTTCAATCCAATGGGGAAGGTGGACTCTGAAGGCAAAACGCTTTTTCATAGTACCACTGCTTTTCAACAGGTATAAAATATTAATTAAACTCGCTCTGCATTGTTAACCCATGCATTAAGCTGCAGTTCTCCAAAGGGGAGATTTAGGGGAGAAATGAAATTCTCCAGGGGGAACCATAGGTATACACCCTGGAAATTTATTTTGCCTTAATAGAAGCTTGATGCACTTCACTTTATTATGTTATTCTGTCTAATGCCAGACGATTTTACTCATCAAGGGGATTCTTGCTGACATCGAATAGGTTGATCATAAATTTGGTTGTAAATTTTTGACGTATTTCTTTCTTTCCCAGGCAATAGAAAGTCAGTTAGAGAACACATGTTGTTGTCCTGGTGCCTCGGCCGGCAACCAACGACAAGCATTCTCAGATATAGCTCGAGGTCTCGCTGCCGTGTTTAGTGATGTGGATTTAGTTCCTTCAGATATTGCAGCAGGATTGATACTGCTCAATAGAGAACAAAGTAGGAAAGCTCAAGAGGAGAGGGAAGGATCGAGGGTGAGATAATTTTGGTCTTTGTCCCATTTTTAAGTGCACAAAATAAGGACTTAACGTACGTTTGTCTTGTGTAGACATCTGATTATGTGAGTTTGAATCTGAACATGCAAAAATGCAAGGAGTGTTTTGTCACTAGGTCCTTGCTTTGATATGTAAGATGGATCAATCACAGTTCAAGGCCGTCGGAAGTAAATCAATTTTGGGGGTTGGGGCTCAATAAAGTAGGATCGGGGAGTTTGTGGACGAGTTGACAAGCCTTGATCACTGATAGTTTGTAGCCTTTGTACTAGTAGCGAGTGCCAAGTGCAAGTCTAGGTTTTTTTCACTTTCTTGAATAAATCTGAATTACTTTAAATTTACACTTTTCTAGTTTTTTTCTAGTTTTTCTAGTTCGGGGGGGGGGGGGCAAAGCCGCCCTAGCCCCCCTCCCCCACTTCCGAAGGCATTGCAGTTGATATTAGGGTCGCACTTCTTACCATCCAAGAAGTTATGATATTATAATTTAGTCCTTGGCTTTATGTGAAATATCCTATCTTCATAATGTACTCTTCAAGAATGATAGAAAAGCATGTTATACAAAACTCGCACTATACTGTCACTGGGCATTTGTATTTTGTCCCTGCCCTCTGGGGAGTCATATTACGTATCCCTCATTTTTCGGTTTTTGTCCTATATTTTGAGGTGAATACATGATTGTGCAGTTTCAGTAGCTACATACATTCATGTCCCTGGCCTGCTCTGGTTTAATAGTTAAGGTTCTTACATCACTTATTATTAAACTTTCTTCTGTTAGCAATGGGTGAAGGATCGACTTGTTGCCGTTGATGATACGGTGGGTATACTGTATATTCGTACGCAAAAACTGTAATTTTATAATTATATATTTCATGGATGTCTTATCACTTATGTTCAAGACTTTTTGGCTACTTAATTGTCTCATTTTTTGCAACAAATTTTTCGAAACTTAGAATTTTCGTGTGCTGTGTTTTATTATTAGGTTCATTTTCACTCCGGAAAATGTTTCGCAAATTTCCCGTTGGAAAAAAATTCTGAGGTTGAAAATTTTCAACTTTTAACAATGATGCTTGTGATGTTACTCTGAGTGTATATTCACACCGGGCTGTCCAGGCAGGCTTGAAAAATATGCCTGACCACGGTGGGAATCGAACCTACGACCTGTGGAATACTAGCCCAATGCTCTGTTATAGGGCTCTGCCAACTGAGCTAAACGCGGTCAGGTCGGTTCGAGTATGTGATATTTCGGAACACAATCTAGTTCCTTCGATATCAATGTTAATCATGATTTTTTCTGTGTTGGTGTAATGAATATACTCAGGTGAATATATGCTTGTGATGTTACTCTGAGTGTATATCCACACCGGGCAGGCTTGAAAAATATGCCTGACCACGGTGGGAATCGAACCTACTACCTTTGGAATACTAGCCCAATGGCAATGCTCTGCCAACTGAGCTACGCGGTCAGGTTGGTTCGAGTATGTGATATTTCGGAACAGAAACTAGTTCCTTCGATATCAATGCAATCTAATAATCATGATTTTTTCTGTGTTGGTGTAATGTATACTAGGTGAATATATGCAGGTGATGATGATGATATTTTTTGGAAAATTTTTTGTTTGTGGAAATTTTTCTTGAGTGGAAATGGCCTTATGTTACATTCCATGTTTTGACAGGACACGTGGGGAAAATTTGACGAGAGTTACTATTTCTATTATTTTGCATTGGGATCCTATGGTTGGCCGTTGTATTGTTACATGCATCCGTGCTGTGGGTTGTGTCAATTGTGTAAAGTGTGCAAGTAAGATTACTGAATTAAACTAAATCTACCTATTTCATTTTTACGCTCTTTCATCTCAACACTTCCAGGAATCTTTCAAGGCATCCACCAAACATTATTTTCACCAGGCTCACTGACCTGGCGAACTTAACATGCCTGGTTGCCGTATGATCGTAACGGTCGTAAAGATTGAGTCACGATCTTTCTCATCAGCCGAAATACGACATTCTAGAATCTAGAACTGAAAATACACGGAGTGATTATAACTAGATAATACTTATGATTTATATGTGGTTTACAGGTATAAACTATTATAAACCATGGCCGGATTTTGTAGAGAGGTGCGCAACTCCCCTGAGATCATTTTGCACCTCCCCTGAGAATTTTTGCACCTCCCCTGAAAAGCCATGCACCTCCTCTTGGGAAAGTTTCAATGATAGATCAAAGTGAAAAAGGGAGATTTTTGGTTGCTTAGGGTCTACACTTCGAAAGAAAGTTTTTCTGTAAAATTGAAAGAGTGATAGCCAATTCATCTCTGTGTCAAGTAACCTTTTAATGCAATATTTTGAAAGAAACTTGGTAGTAATTGTAATGAGTTGTACAGTCATAATTCATTAATACACACGTCGTTGACTTTCGCCTGTTCTAAGGCTCTGACGTTCCATGGGGGTCGTGAGCTAGATTGCTGCACCTCCCCTAAGATTTTTGCCACCTCCTGCACTATTTCCACCAAAATCCGGCCTTGTTATAAACTTGCCGTTGAGAAAGATCGTGACTCTATTTTTACGACCATATGGAAACCAGGCTTAAGACCCTGGCTTGCGAGGTTTAATGAATGGCCATTTTATAAAAGGCTTGAAAATCGTTTCTCTTCCCTGTAGGTGTGGTTGTGCACAAATGTTTCGTGGCATAGTGGTAGAAGGTGACGAATGCTGTAAGGCCAATACGAGTGGTCTAATTTCTCAACTACCTTCAAAGGATGATGTCGAACAAGTCTTTACTAGTTTTAAAAATGATGTGAGTTTAGATTTTCTTTTTTATACTATCCACTGTAAAAAGGTTAGTTTATACAGTAGCTCAGCTTTCGTGCTGAAGCCAGTTAAGGTCGTGCTGAGGCATTGAAAGGAATTAGGCAAAACAAAACCAAAAAATATAACCATCTCTTTTAGGTCTACCAAACAGCATTTTGTGTGTGTATTGATCATAATTACAAGAAAGTTGTCGTTTCTGTGCGAGGGACATTATCACTAAAGGTAAAAAGCAGGAATGGTCTCAAACTCAAAACCAACCCAAATTTATGAACAAGACAGTATCTAAATATATACAGAAATATTTTATATAGTTATTATTATTTACGTACTATTTACAACACACGGTACGGTAGCCTTTCAGACTATCTGCTTTTCAAAACGCACATTGACATAAATACGGGAAATTTTTACGAAAGTTAACAGGTGGAAGTTGGTTATCTATTGAGGTTTTTTGAAGGAATTGAGAGTCATAGAGTTATCATTACTTTCAATATGCTCATCTATAGACTATTCCAGCTCACAGCTCCTTTGTAAGAAAAAATGTCTCTTCAACAAACGATTTATGTCATGGTTGCTACACAAGTTAAAGTTAACGCGGTTTTTCTAGGTGGATATTCCAAGCGGAAGATTATTTACAAATTAAATGAATTTATATAATAAATGGACGACTTGCGCTTTAGACTAAATTTTAATCTAAGTAAGAACAACGAAATCTATCACCACAGCTAGAACGAGCGTCTTGGAATTAGTAATATTACAAAGTTTGGTTGCGAAATGTTGTAAAATATACGGAAAATATGGCCCTTCAAAGTTGGCAAATTTGTATACTTTTGTATATACGTGCGTGAATTGGTAATAAATTAGTTACCAATTTCCGCACGTAATAGAAATGTATACAAATTTGCCAACTTCGCTTTTTCTAATTTTGATAACTTCTTTCCGAAAATATCCTTTGTTATTCCCAGATTAAAAATTTTTCTAAAGCGCAAGTCGTCCATTGCGTATAATAATCGACGTATAATAATTTTCCATCTGCAAAAGTCTTCAACTGTGAGTTCTATATCGAGCGAGTTGTCCAAAATCTAGAAATATTTTTTATGATCTTTTTTAATAAATTTGAACTATAACTTTTGCTGCTGTATAGGATGTCCTAACGGATTTAACAGCGGAAACAGATGATCTTGAGCTTGTCTGTGACAAAGGCTGCGAGGAAAAATGCTTTGGCCATAGGGTACGTTTGATTACAGTATATTCTTTTGATTGGATATGAAATTCTCTTCTTATACAACTCAACTCTGCAAACTGGAACCTTTTGAAGCCCCATTAATGAATGCTATACCGCCTGAGTTATCGTTGCCGTTGACTTAGGGGTTAATCTATATTCTATTTCAGGGTATGGCTAAATCTGCGAGGTTTATCATGACCAAGTTGGAACAGGAGAACATCCTGGGATCAATATTTTTACGATATCCAGACTACAGTCTCGTGATTGTTGGACATTCCCTCGGCGCGGGGACTGGTGCGGTCCTTGCTTTACTGATGAAGGAAAGATATGAAAATCTCAAATGTTTTGCTTATTCACCGCCCCAGGTTTTGAAGTAGGTCATCAGGACCATAGGCGTCGAAAGATCAATAAGTGGGGGAGACCATATTAATATATTCGTATTCACAGACCTTAAAAACAATCGATTTCAAAAGAAATTAATAATGCAGAACACGAATATATGAATATGGTCCCCCCACTTATCGATCTTTCGGCGCCTATGATCAGGACTTAGTTCTATTCTAGTCTATGCTTCTGTAAGTGAGAACAATATAGTAACTGGGCATGTGAGTTACCTACAGTTGTGAAATGGGTATAAAAAAACACTAACCAAATTTGTCTGTTAATAAATTTTATTAAATCTTTTTACCAGCCTTCATATTAAGATCCAGACACACCGGACGCGATTCGACAACGCGACGCGATCTTTCAGTTTTTGAAAGTTGATAAAACAGCCAATGAGAGCAAATTTTGAAAGATATGTAGACCAAATGACTCAAAATGTTATAGCGCTTCTAAATATTTGGAAAATTTAAACTAGGAACAAAGTTATCGGTCAGTGAAAATCGAAAAATCGCCTCGCGTTGTCGAATCGCGTCCGGTGTGTCTGGACCTTTAAGTAACCATGAATCATTTCCGTTTCAGTTTAAAAGCTGCCAAATATTGCGAAGACTTTGTTACATCGGTGATTGTTGGTAATGATGTTATATCCAGGTGAGACCTAGTTTCAATTTAATCCACCCCCACAACTAAAGGGCACTTAGTGGCCATGCAAAATTTATTTTATACAGGGCCGGAGACAAAGGGGACGGGGCACATACTTTTTTGAGCTGCACAGAAGCTGGGCACAAAGTGTTTTTTTCAGTGCCCGTATCTTCGTCAGTGCCAGAATCTTCGTCCGACGAAGGGGATCAAATAACCACAAGCGAGAGGCCAGGACGCGGACATACACACAAACACACGTACACGCATTTTTCACCTCTACCCTGAGGTTATATCGTTTTCGTATGGGTTAGTAAGTAATGCGGCATTACTTACAAACCCATACGAAAACGATATAACCTCAGGGTAGAGGTGAAAATCGTGTTTATTTCCATGCAAGAATAAATTTTTGAATTCTGATCGGATATAGGAAGAAACGAATTAGGAACTGATAAAATTTTGTAATACTTTAGGTTAAGTATACACAGTGTGGATATTTTAAAGAAAGAAATTGTTGATGCGCTTCAACACTGCCAGATGCCAAAGGTACGTATTCCAAAATTTTTAGATTGCTGTCCTAAAATTCTGCGAAAGTACAAGAGGAATTACCAAGCTCTAGTAAGAATTACCAAGCTCTAGTCTACAATAAGCTGCCGTGGTTTGTGTCTGAATTACCTGAAAAAGATGTAACATGCCCATGAGCATTTTTATGAGGATACTGGATTTTGGTATCTACGATTTTGGTATCTGAAATGCTGGTGTTCAGTGTATTAGGTAGTATCTACAATATAAGCTGTCGTGGTTTGTGTGGTTTGCTCCGAGCAAATGCTCCTCTTCAAGAAGTTACTGCTAATATTTTCTTTTTCAGTACCAAATTCTGCTTGGCGGTTGTTGGAGAATACTTTGTGAATGTTTCTGTGATTGTTCTAATGATGCTGGTGAGTTGTATACGCTATAAAGTTGGTGTAGTGTAGGTTTCTTTCTGTTGTAACACTGAACCAGAAAGGGACGACTCTCGAGAGTCGATGAGAGTTGGCGGTCAAACTCTCATCGACTCTCAACTTTCCAATTTTGATGAGAGTTGATGAAGTTTTCGCTACGCACGCGGTAATATCCATTCATCTCTCATCAACTCTCATGCAACTCTTGTTCTCGTTTGACCGGG